CACACACACACACACACACACACACACACACACACACATCCAAGTACTTGTTTCTGCTAGTAAAGTGAGGTCCTTTTTGGGAAGTGAGGACATTTTCCCAGTCCTAACTTTATTTGTAGCTCTACTGAGCTCTAATGAGTAGAGGTGGGAACCTTTTACTCTCTCATGATTCGATTCAAACTCGATTTTTCATTCAAAACTGATAATGTGAGCCCATTTGTCGTGTTTCCAAAGTGCTTCATCTTCATTGTGCAAAGCTCGAACACCTCGCTCAGGTCAAACTCAGACTCATTGAGTAAAAACCAAAATGAGCCCAAATCTTTGCCTTCAGTGAAGACAGGACTGGTTGAATGTCTCTGTCCTTCAGTCCTGTAGTTTCCTCTTTGTTTCGGTGCTTTCTGCACATTCATATATTCCAGAAGCAGCTGTGTGGTGATGTCAGGACATCCCCTGTAGTTACAAAATGGAGGCTGACAGCCATTGGATTTGCTTTTCTCATTTATAAAAATCGATTTTGGGACATTTAAAATTGATTTTGAATCTTTGTAAATGAGAATCACGATCCTGATGTAAAATGATTTTTTGGTTCACCCAGGTTTAGAGGTATGGTGTGAATTTAGTTTTGGTTCAGGTTCTGGTTAGGAATAGACCAGTAATGGTAAATTTTAGTGAAAATGTCTGGGTTAGGCATAAAAAGTTACAAAAATGATTGGAAGTCAACACAAAATCCTCCGTTTGATGCAAGTACACAGACTCTTGTACATCCACACCAGTTTGGTTTCCTCTACATCTCATTTTTGAGCCTCACCACTTCATTTACAGATGGGAGTGAATAATTTCAGGTGATTACAGATGATCCACTGAGGACTGCAAACCAACATGAACATTTAAACAAAAAATCTATTTGAGGCTTTGATGCTGTTGCTATAACAACAGCAGCAGACAGAAGTGACATGACTAACTAGTGGAAAACAACTGAAAGAGGGAGAGAAAAAACACACAATGTGTGTGTGTGTGTGGGGGGGGGGGTGTGTGTGTGTGTGTGTGTGTGTGTGTGTGTGTGTGTGGGGGGGGGGGTTGTCTCAGTTCTTATTTCCCATGTGTGTGCCAGATGGCACTGTGCACTCTGCTATTACGTAATAAAAACACTGAATCACACACACGCACTGGCTGAAGAGTTCGTACACGGTCATTTTAGACAGGTCTATCTGAACCCTTCATTCAGGGGTGGACATGAAGTTCTGAACATTTTATTAAACAAAATGCTGCAGATAAAAAGCAAGCTCAGCAAAAACACGCCCACACAGACCACTATCAGCACACAGCTGCAGGAAAACACTGTTCATGTGTGTTGTAAAAAAACTCAACTAACAACTAATACCCTACAGCACACACAGTGGTCACCATGTTGTGTGTGTGATGAACAGGTTACTACAATGTGTTCTCTGACCATCACCTGTGCATGCACACACATCTTTTTTCATAAGAAAGAAAAACAGACTTATCCTTCGTCCTCCACTGATGGTGGTCAGAGGGTCCGGAGGTGCTGGTGCATGGTAGCCCCACCTCTGTCAGTGAGCTGTGGCTACAGTGTAGCTTACACCATCAGTGTGTGAATGTGTGTGTGAATGTTTGTAAGTGTAAACCACTTTGGGGTGTGGAGGGACTTGATAAAGCGCTCTATAAGTTCAGTATGTTTACCATCAACGCTTCTTTCTTTCAGGGTCACGGGGGTCACTGGTGCCCATGTGTTTGAGCCCCAGACCCCTCCCTTCCTTAGCTGCCTTCTATATGTGAGTAGTTTTTTTTTAGCGTATGATCATGTGTTTCTGTGTAAACAGGATCAGAGCATTTTTTAAACTCATTTTCCTACTGTGTGTATTCTAAGCTTTTTAAAGGTAGAGCAGCCCCAACTGGATGCTGCATGACCTGAACACCTGTTCCCCCATGTTTTTGTCTTGTGTGTGCCTTCCTGAATGGGTGTTCTTAAATGTAATTTCATTGTGTAAATGATGACAATAAAGGCTTTCATGTTATCCAGCAGTCACAGTGTGAGGGGTGGGGTACACCCTGGACAGGTCTCAGTCCATCACAGACACACACAGAGACAAACAACCATTCACTGTCTCACTCACACCTAGGGACAACTTAGAGTTATCAATTAACCTAACAGTCATGTTTTTGGTCTGTGGGAGGAAGCCGGAGTACCCGGAGAAAACCCACACATGCACGGAAAGAACATGCAAACTGCCCAGAAAGGTCTCTGGGCCGGGATTTGAGCCAGAGACCTTCTTGCTGAGAGGCATCTGCTCTACCAACTGAGCCACCCAAGCCCAAGTTTTCAGCAAAAATATTGTACAATGAATCGAGTTTTGGGGTATGTGTTTTAAATAATGTTAATACGACCACATTAAATTTGATCTCAAAATCTACAAACTGACTGACTTCTAGCTGTTTATGTCATTTCTATGGTCTGTTGGCTGGAGAGGCCATCTTGACCTGGGTTGACTCCTGATGATGGTATAAATGGTAAACAGACTGTACTTTTATAGTATCTTTCTACTCATCCAGGACACTCAAAGCTCTTCACTCTACAACCTGTGTCCTCATTTATCCATTCACACAGCACTCTGTTAGCTCTCTACAGAGATAACATGTACAATCATCTATGGAGACTAATCAGTGCCAATCACATTCATACACTGATGGGACACATCAGAGGCATTAGGGCTGAAGTGTCTTGCTCAGGGACACTTCAACATGTGACTGAATAGCGAGGAATCGAGCCGCCAACTCTTGCATTAGAGGATCGACTCCCCTAACCACTGTGCCACAGCCGCCCCATGATGCTGTATAAAAACTGAACAGGACTGAAGTGTAGCTCTGTAAGTAGAAAACACAGGTCTTACCAGTGCAGGCCACTGTATGTGTTTGGCCTTAGTTCCCTGCAGGAGGCCTCCTCCTCCTGCTACTCCTGCTCCTCCTCCTCCTCCTGCTGCTGCTGCTGTTGCTGCTGCTGCTGCTGCTCCACCCTCCTTCCTCTTGGCCCAGACCAGCTGGTGCTCCAGGAGAAACAGCTGGAAATCCTCATAGACCTTCACCCACTCTCTCTTGTCCCAGTCCTGGTCATCAAATTCCACATAAACCTGAAAGAAAGAACAAAATCTTACTCAGTGTGCAGAATGATTTGTTTTACCTTCATTTGTTTAATGTTTTTCATACAGAGGAACCCCACAACTAAAAAAATAACCTTCTGGCAGAAAAACAAAGAAGACAAGATAAAACTCAATGCCAAACGTTGCTGATGTCCCCCAACACCATTCAGTAATAACCAACCAGTAGTTTTGTAGGAATCATCACAGGCTTTCATTATTTAAATAAGGTGAACAGACGGACGGATGGACAGGGCTACAGTGATCTTTTCAAATTACCACATAAATGTGTGGAGCAGGTCTCCCTTATGATGCACACAAAATCTGCTTTAGATTGAATCATGTATATGTGATTTAGAGCAAACCATATGCAAAGTGGGCGGAGCTAAAACAATACCGTCAAACTAACACAGTAATGTGTTTAGCTGGTTTCCGTAATGATGCACACAAACTTGTCTTTATTCAAATGCAACAAAGAAAATATTTATTGTTTTTAAACCTATGGATTGGAATATACTGGAATTAAATGAAGAGCAAAAAAAAACAGAAGAATTTTACATTGATTTTACTGGTTTTATGGCTGATGATTTGGTCAACACTGGTTTGTTTTAAAATGATTTTTATAAAAGAAAAAGTTAATTTCATGGAACAGAAAATGCCAGAACCACTAGGTCGGTCACAATAACAAATTATGGATGATAAAGTGTCTTAGAAATTATTGCAACTGCATAGTGAGAGTGAACTAGGAATGTCTGCTGGAGCTCCCTGTCCCTGCAAGCTTCAACCCTCACCTCCTGGACAGTTGAAAACTGCAGTCGATATCAATATCCTACATAGTCAGAGCTGCACATAAGTGGTGCGCAGGTACACATGCACGGTCACAAACATAAAAAGTGCACCAGATGGAATGTCATGAAGCTCATTTGCATATCTGAGATTGTACCTGACTGTCAAAACAACAGTTAGCAGGGCTCTAGAGTGCAACCACTTTGGTCGCAAATGTGACCCGATTTCTTTAGAAAATAAATAAATAAATAAATAAATAAATAAATAAATAAATA